CAAGAGGGTATAAACAAGGAGTTAGTTAATTTGTTCCTGGCTGATGTGAGACAAGCCCCACCAAACCAGGTGCAACTCTAGCCAGGTCCAGGGCACAGGTTAAAAATTTAGAGCTGATACCACTATTTATATTTCCTTATTTTTAAATGTGATCTATGACCAGTGATCATTGCATTTCTTCCTCCATTTTCTTAGTAAGAGCCTCAAATAAATATTTTCAAGCAAAATTTTCACAATTTGTGGGCTGGTAACTTTGTAAGCAAGGGAATTTACTAGAATGAGGGAAGTGATTCAACTGGAAGAGGCAGGAGGTTGGATTAAAATGGAGTTGTGAATGGATTGGGAGTGGGGCTGATCAAATTAGAATCTTGAGGGACATATACATCCTGATAATAACGTGATTTTTCATTCAGAGATTTTTTCCTAAAAATAAATAATCTTTCTGGGTCCTCATGTATCTTTATTTCAAGTCTAAATTTCAGACTAGCAGAATGTAAAATACTTTTTTTCTCCCTTTAAACAGAAAATGAGTCCTGGCTGATATGGTTCAGCGGAATGAACCAAAGGGTCACAGGTTTGATACCCAGTCAGGGCACATGCCTGGGTTGTGTGCCAGGTCCCCAATAGAGGGTACTCTAGAGGCAGCCATACATTGATGTTTCTCTCCCTTTCTTTCTCCCCTCTCTAAAAATAAGTAAATAAATAAATAGAATCTTTTTAAAAAGAAAAGGATTAAGACAATACTTTTTAAATCAAGATGTATTTTTTTTTCCTGTCAAAATACATTTACCTATTCATTCAGTCAGTTATTCACTCATTTAGAAAATGTCTATGGGTACCAGGCATTGTTTTAGATGTATGGCCTACATGATTGGGCAAACAAAGATTGCTGCTCTTGCAGAATTTATATTCTGCATAGGCTAGGGAGAGAAAGAAATAACAAATATAACTAAACTGTAAACAATCAAGATAATGGTATTTGCTACATAAAAAAGAAGAGTACAGCAGGATAAAGGAGATAAGGAGTGCAGAATGTTACAGGACAAAGTGGGAGGAGGACTGCAACTTTAAATACAGCTGTCATGGTTGCTTGACCTCATTTGAACAAAGACTTGAATAATATAGGCAAGAGTGTTCTTGGCCAAGAAATAGCTAATGCAAGGGCCCTAAGGCAGGAGCTATGCTTAAACAGCATCAGGAAGGCCTGTGGCATAGAGAGAGTGGATTAAGAGAGGTCAAGGAGGTTGAGGAGAACCTTGTGGGTCACTATAACACCTTTAACTTTTACAGTCTGACTGAATCCCCTTTTCTCTCAACCCCATCTAACTGTATCATTAATTTTTAAAAATTGTTGTCAAGCTTATGCTGTAATATGGTAACTGTTAGTTGACTTTCATTTTCTCAGTGGGGAGGTTGAGTGTCTTTCATGTTTACTGTCTATTTGGAATTGCTTTTTCTGAATGGCCTATTTATATTCATTGCCCAATTTTTTATTGGGTTGTTTATATTCTTTATATTATATGTATTAGCAGTAATAGCAGTAGTTGTGAACACTTTTATATGTTACATTACATATAAAGACATTACAGAATTTGTCTACTCTTCTGGCATTTATCTTTTGGCTTTGTTTTTGGCATCATCTGCTATAAAATTATATTTTTATATAATTGAAATTTGAAAATTATTTCTTTTATAGGTCTTAAGTGCTCTGCCTCCATCAGAATTTCTTTACAAATCCCAGGTTGTATAAACAGTCTCTTAAATTTTCTTGTTAAGATTTCTATAGTTATTTGTTTTCCGTTTGGGTGTTTAATTCAATTGGACATAGCTTTGAAGCTAAAATTCCTACATTACATCCTACTACAAGAATAAACTGTTTTGCTATCAGAGTTATTATATAAACATCCTTTTCACATTGAATTAAAATACTACCTTGTTATATTAAAATGAAGGAGCAGTTTTTAAGTTTATGATGTACTACACCATATCCAAAAGCTCGTAAGAATGATCTAAAATAGATACATTATGAAAAATAGGAAAAATAGCAAGATGCCTGTGGGACCCAGAGGGAGTGGGACTCAGAGAACAAAGGAAAGGGTTTGGGTCATCTCATCTTTACTGACACATGTAAAGTTGAGGGTATGGGTATAGTCAAAGGCAGTTTGGTAGATCTGCTGGACAGCAGATGAGGAGTCCTTGTTTAAGAGTTTTTATTTTCCCAGAGAAGTCAGAATATCATCTACCCTGGGAAAGAGGATGAGGAAAGAAAGAGGGTGAAAGAGGCAAGTAGATTTAAGGAGAGGAATGTGGGAAATCACATTAGTACAGAGTGGGAAAATAAACAATTAGGAGAGTATAAGAGGACTGGTAGTTGGAATTAAGATTTTTGTGGTAATTGGTTTAAAATGAGAATTCTTCAGAGGTTATATATGATAGGGTGAGTTTTAAATTTTTAGTAAACTTACTTTTCACTTCTTTTTCTATACTTTCAAACCATTTAAGTCAAAGGCTTTATAGTTTCATTTTCACATTAGTACTTTAAAATCATAAGTGAAAAAATGTTTAGTTTCTTTTTCTTATTAATACTTTCAGACCACTGAAGCCAAAGCTTTAAATTTCATGGACTATATTGTATGTTGACATTAATGAAATTACAGGGGCAGTTATTTAACTATGGTTGATGATAAAAAGATTAGGTGATAGGCTAGTAGTTAAACGAATCAGGGTGATTGGCTCAGGGCTGATAAGGGCAGCTGGAACATAAAAACCAAGGGTATTTTCTATAATTGTGTCACCATCTTGCCATTGTTACTTCGTTCCTCCACTTCATAGTGCATCAGTCATTCATTCATTCAACAAATACTTACTCAGCACCTATTATGTGCCAGGCACTGTTCTACATGCAGAGGATACACCAGTGAACAAGAGACACAAGGTTCTTGCTTTCCTGGAACTTATGTTCTAATACAGGAAGATAGACAATAATAATAAAAATAATATTAATTATAATAAAAGCTAACATTTATTAACAAGTACTGTTTTCTGAGACAGTTTTAAGCACTTTACAAGTATTAATTTACCAATCCTTATAACAACATTATGAAGTACAAACTAGAATTATTCCCATTTTATACAGGAGGAAACTGAGGGCACAGAAAGGGAAAATAGCTTGCCCAAGGCTACACAGCAAGGAAAGGGTAGAACTGGAATTTAGAACCAAGCCAGTCAGGCTACAGCTCTCCTTCTGATAACGACTTTGTTATGCTGCCTCTCAGACAAGAAACAGGGCAATAAGCCAAGAATGAATAGAATACATTCAGGTAGGTTTAGTGCTATGAAAAAAATAAAACACGGTGATGGGTTGGTATATGTGTGTTGGAGGATTTGGGATGCAAGTTTAGGTGCCAAGGAAAACCTCACTCAGGAAGTGACATTTGGACTGAGATTTGAGGTATGGTTATAGTTATTCTGGGTCACAGGCAGCTGAAGAAAGCTAGTGTAGAAGAATCTTTGTGAAACAGAAATGCCCAGTTCGCCATGGCTAGAACCTAGTGTGTAACAGTGACTGATTAGACAGAGGTGAATTCAGGGAGACAGGGAGATAGGCAGGCCAGGCTATGCCTGATGGGTCCTTAGACCACATCATGAAATTTAATTTTTATTCTAACTGCAGTGGGTTTTCATGCAGGAGCTGACACTACTTGATTCATAACTTTAGAAGATCACTCACTGCTATCTGCAAAATTGAACGTAGGACAAAAGAAGCAGGAAGATCCACTAGGAAGCAGTTACAATCCAGGTGGAAAATAATAGTGGCTTGGACTAGGGTAGTGACAGAAAATAAAATTTAGGGTATATTTGGATAGATAAATTGGCAAAACTTGCAAAGGAACTGGATGTGAAGAGCGAATGAAAAGGAATTTAAGTAGGAGCCTTGAGATTTTGGTTTGAGTAGCTAGTATGATGGTAGTGGCCTTTACTAAGTATGTGTAAGAGAAGGGGAGAAATGCCTTCAGCAAGAAAAATCAGTCATTACCTCTTGAACTTTATGGAGGAAGGGACTTTTTCCTTTTTTTTTTCATTAAGTTTCAAAGAAAGAGTTCTGGAAAAAAAGCATTTTAATGTTCAATTTTATGAGCTCTTTAGAAACTTGAGGGAGTTTTCTTTTGTTTAACAAATAAGTTATTGAGCATCTACTTTGGCCAAGGACTACGTGATGAGATACCCAGATAAACTACGCGAACAAGATCCCTGCTCCCAGGGTGTCTTGGGGGTTAGGACGGGGGCGGAGAGGGAAAGACGGTTAATTTTCTTCCTCTTCGTTGTCTTATTAAAACTTCGCCTATGCACGAGTAGCCATCTTATAACTGCATCTCGTGCTCTTGGCAGTTGGGCCCACCGTTCTAAACGTTCAATGTCAATTAATAAATGACTGGATCTCTAATAGTGACACCTCCCCTCCCGTTAGAACTTACTTTAAATAAAAATTTTAACAAACAATACGAATACAACCTTTGCTTTGAAGGCTAATATTTTTGCAGGAATTGTACCTTTATAAAGATCGTGGTTGCCCTCGTATATATTTGTTCTTTCTTCATATCCAATTAAATGAAAATACTAGTTTTTCCGTTGCCCAACTCTCTAGGCTTGTTGGGTCTAGCTCAGGAGAAAGGAAGCAGGAACCGTTGGATTTAAACAGTTTGGTGTAATCCTTTTCTACGCTCTCTCTCGCTAGCCGGGGATGTGGTATCAGCTACCGGGGCTTTCCGTCCACGCAGTACCGGAATGAAGGAGTCTGGGAGGGGGTCGGGGAAGGAAAAGACGGAAGAGACATTAAGTAATTGGTTCTTGAAGGTATAAAATGATGTTTAGGATCAGCTCTGAGGCACCGATTTCAAATGCCCGCCCCCTGGGCCGTTTCGGCCCCGCCTCTCGCTGTCGTCACGCCCACTCCTACCTTGGCCTCTGCGGATTGGTCGCTGCCTCCGCCCCCCAAGTGCGGCGAATGTGCTTGGGGTTTGCTTCCGGGTCTTGGGCTTGGGTCCCGGGCGCAGGGGATTCTGGGAGTCAAGAGTCGTTATGGAGTCTGTGTGATCTCTGGAGGCTGCTGAATCGGGCCTCAGCCAAGGTGAGCTGCGGGAAAACAGTAGTTTGTCTTTCTTATCCGAGTGGGATGGGAAAGGACGGTTGGGATCGGAGCTGCGGGCTGAGAACTGAGCGCGGATGGAGGAAGCCCCAGAGCGGCGGGCGGGCGGCTGGGTGGCGGAGCCCAATACCCGTGGCCGCGTTTCGCGTTCCGGGGGCCCTGGAGAGCGCAGCGCCGAGGCAGCGTTGCAGACTCCGTTAAGCAGCATCGAGCCTCCTCACCCCTCTCTGAATCGCGTAGAGTCTGTGAGCTCCTGGTGACATCCCGAAGGTGAACTCCCGGGAGACGGGAATGACAATTATCCAGGGATGTGTGAGAGGCTGCGGCGCCCCCAGCGGCACGAAACCCTTATTCTCCACCTCTGGATACATACCTTTCCCTTTTTTGAAAATGTAGACTTATGCCACTTCCCCCAACATCCCCCGCACACTTTGTCTTTCCTACGCTCGACGATGTTTTAGTTGCTCCTACTACTATGAGATTATTTTGGCTGTCCATAACCAAAAGTATCAAGGAACGGGTCTCTGATTTTATCAGCACCTTTTGGGGACGAGGCTCCGATCTTTTTGAGCATTCCTTAAATTATAATCTACAAAAGATCTGGTTTTTATTATGCTGGGGGCTGTAAGAGAAAGGTGGATCAACAAAAAGGTTGGAGGATTTTGCCCAGGTAAACTGTTACTGAAGTTTTTTAGCACACTTTAATCCAGAACATTCAGTAATTGTGACTAGAATGTCTTTTTTTGTGGGATTTTTAAATGCTCTTTTTGTAGTTGCTAGCCTATTTTATGTTCTGTGAGTTTAGATAAAATGCAAACATTAGGGTGTCTGGTGGAATTGAGAATTTTTGAAACTCTCTCATGGCTATACTGTATTTTACAAAGGCTTTTCCCCATGAAATAATTATATGAGAAATACCCCATTCCACAGATGACAAAATTTTAAGCTAAGTAACTTGCCTAGGGCCATAGAGCCAGGACAACAGGAGCATAAACTCAGATCGATCTTTAGAACAGAATTTTTTATACTCAATAGGAGTTACCTAAGAAGCCATATTCCTTGTACACCCGAGCCTCATTACTTGTTTTCTTGAGAACTTTTTGTTTGAGGTTATTTAAGTAAACTTTGGGGAGTGAATTACAAAATTATTTCACAAGGATGGATGTTAACACTTTAAAAATGGTCATTTGTCATATAATAAATAACTTGATACTATTTTTCTTTAAGGCATAAAAGATGACGACAGCAGCTCGGCCAACATTTGAACCTGCGAGAGGTGGGAGAGGAAAAGGAGAAGGTGATTTGAGCCAACTCTCGAAGCAGTATTCTAGTAGAGACCTACCTTCTCATACAAAAATAAAATATAGGTAATGAAGACTTTCATTTTTTATTGTTCACAAAGCAAGAGGAAATTGGTTAAATGGCATGGTCATGAAATGGTAGCATGTTTGGGTTTATATCACTTAAGTTATTTATTTTTATATGAGTAGAATTCTATAGAATATCTAACACTAAAATTATGCTCTATGATTATAAAAAAAACCCATGTATTTCTTAATCAGAAATTCCTGTTAATCAAGAATATCTACATATAGATGGAAAAATAATATATTACTGCAGAAAGACAATGCACTGTCAGTACTAGTCAATATGAGAATAAAACTGTTATTGTAATGTGCCCTGAGTTGAGCTACTGACAAAAAGTAGACATTTTAATTGATATGCAGCATTATTATAGGAATATATGTGATTCATTTTAGGGTCCTTGAAATATTGGGAATATCACAAGGATGCCTATTAGTAACCCACATAATAGAGTAATAGTGTTGTCCAGTTCCTTCTTTTGTACTTTAGGGACTCAAGGACAAAGCTGTTTTTTTGTGATGTTTCCTCCATTGCTACAGCCGTGTGTGTGTGTGGTTTTGTTTTTTTTTTAAAGAAACATTTTTGCCCTGGTTTGTTTCTACTTTAGACAGGCCACTCAGGATGCCCCTGAAGAGGTTCGGAACCGTGACTTCAGAAGAGAGCTGGAAGAGAGAGAGAGAGCTGCTGCAAGGGAAAAAAACAGAGATCGTCCAACTCGAGGTACCAACACTACCCCAGACAATTGTCACATAAAATTATTGACAGTAGTTTTTCTTTCATTTGGTTATTGGAATGGATTACTGTTTGTTTGGTTTTTTTTTTTCAGTTTTAAATATTGGTGTGAATTGCAACACTTTGCTAAATAATCTGGTTAGATTAGAGATGATAATGAGGCTGATTCCATCTCCATCTTTTTATGGTTCTGGATTAGAAGGAACAAGGTGACCTGGGGATATTCAGCGCTCCTTGTTTCAGTTCAGATCAAGGAGTTATTGACTAGTTAGAAGAGCCAGAATTTTAAGGCCCCATGGCTTCTGTCTGTGAAGTTCTCCCATTTTTGCCCCTGGCTTGGAAGGCATCCAGGGGTATATATTTATAGCGTATGTGAACTAGTCTCTAAATTTCCTGGGAGAGGCTACAGTCCCCATGTTAAAGTCAATAGTTTCATTAATTTATTCAACAAATATTTATTACCAAGGGCTTATTTACCAAGACTGTGGTTTTGATCCCTGCTGTCATGACAGTTATAATCTAAGTTCTTTGTGCTCACAGGTTCCTGAGATGTTACATGAAATACAGTATTTATTTCAGTAAGCTATGTAATGTTTGTTTATCCCCAGAACATACAACCTCGTCTTCAGTGTCAAAGAAACCTCGGTTAGACCAGATTCCCGCTGCCAACCTTGATGCAGATGATCCTCTAACAGATGTATGTTTTCTTTCCTCCTTTTATTGCCATAGTAATTTATATTGTTTTCTGAAATAGTTTTTTATTCTTTTGGCTTTAAGAAGTGCCCTTTATTTTTACTTAACTGTTATTCAAATGCTAAACCTTATAGTTGATTTTACTTTATTTTTAAAATATTTTATTTATTTTTAGAGCGGGGAAGGGAGGGAGAAAGAGAAAGAAAGAAAGGGAGGGAATCATTGATGTCAAAAATATTGATGGGTTGCCTCTTGAACATGCCCCAGTCGTGAACTGAACCCACCACCCAGGCATGTGCCCTGACCAGGACTTGAACTGGCAACCTTTTACTCTGCGAGATGATGCCCAACCACCTGAGCTACACCTGTCAGGGCAAACTTTATTGTTGATTTTAAAACAAAAGTGTTACTATGTGGTTATTCAGACTTCAAAAACAAGATTGAGCTCTCAAGAACCAAATAAGGAAGTGATCTATTAAAGAATATGCTTCCCTAAAAAGTAATTCCCTCTGTTAAACCTTAGAGATTGGGCTCCCATGTTACAGACCTCCAGATGGCACTCTTCAGACTGGACCCCATCAATAGCAGCCCCTAGAGTTGCCAGGGCCTTTCCACATTAGATACCCATGGTTCCCTCCAGATGTGTAGCACTCTTAAAGGCTCCCTCTGTGCTTAGGGAGGGAGATAACCTATAAGTGGATCAAAGTGGTTTTTAAGGACTAGTGCTTTAGTTAACATTAAAACTTAACGGGACATTAATTTGCCATTTTCTACATACAGTGAAAAAATCCAAGTGACCTTTTATGAGTAGCATCTACTTAAGCACATATATCAGCAATTAATTATAGAGTGAACAGATTGGGTTAAATCATTCAGTAATTAAATATGGGGAATTCAGTAAGGCTTCATGATTATTCATTTGAAATTGGTTTCTTTTGAGAACGTAGCAACCTTTTTGTACTTTTGATTATTCTTCCTAGTTTAAAATTGTTTTGAGCTGTAATAAACTTCTTGATTCTCAGCGTGATAACACTATGTACACACGTACTGTGCATCAGTGTAAAGTGTTCCTTTTCTGGTGTTAGAAATACTTTAATATCTAAATTCCCTTTCAACACTGTAAATTTGAAAGGCACTTTGTTATACTATTAGTTGTTATAATTTCTAAAATACACCAGAGGTTGACATTTTAGTATTCAGAAGCTTTTAGGGGGCGGGGGTTGGTTGGTGGGTTGTTGATTTTAATTGTATATAGGTACGTTTATCTTTTGTACTAGGAAAATTATTCCTGCTCCAAAGATCTATCTCATAAGTGCAATTTTTATGGAAAAAAATGAAAAATGTGAATTTTCTCTCTAATGTCTTGGGCCATCACATTCTTTTTTAAGGAGGAAGATGAAGATGAAGACTTTGAAGAGGAGAGTGATGATGATGACACTGCAGCTCTTCTTGCAGAACTGGAAAAAATTAAAAAAGAGCGAGCTGAAGAGCAAGCCCGGAAGGTAAAATCAAAGTGTTAAGTATTTACATCTTGCATAAACTAAAGTGGGTATATTTTTAATTTAGGTATTATCTTACATTAGAAATCGTCCTTGCCATGTCTAGATATTATAGGACCTTTAGACCTATAAATCTGATCATTTTGTGACATTTTAAGTCTCTTGGTTATGTTAGAAATTCTTTCCAAGTAGTTCAGACATACTTAATAATACTGATCAAGTTGTTCTTTATTATTTTTTGTTTGCTCAGCAGACATTTAGTTAATGTCTGTTAAGTGTCAGAAGAATCACAAATGGTTAAGGTTTAGTCATGGCCTACAAAGAACTCATCGATAAAATGAGGCCATCCTCATTTCTCTTCTGGTCTCCTACCTCAGTCTTCTTTCCAGGAACTTGTTGAAGCAGTCTGTCAACAGGTGTCATCTGATCCAGGGCCATTGTCTAACTTCTCTGAGTCCCCACAGTCTCTCAATTTACACAATGGAAAAAAAGAATACCTGACTTAAAGATAGTTGTAAGGATTAACTAGGATCCATAGTAACAAAAATAAGCTGTAAAACTGGGGAGGCAAAAGCAGGTCATAAAGCATTAGGTTTGTAAATAAATGCTAAAGGAGTTGACTCTGTTCTGAAGGGTAGTTTGTAAAGCTAGTTAATTTCAACAGGAGATTGGTGAGATTGCATATGCGTTTTTGAAAGATTACTCTGGCAGAAGTATTGAGAGTATATTGGGAAGAACTGATGTACTCTCAGTTCTTGGAAAGGAGACTGTACCAGTAATCCTCACATGCAGTTTTGAGTGTCGTGCATAACAGAAGTTGGAATGGAAAGAAGTGAACAGATGCTGATAGAGCTATCAAGAAGGTAGAATTGATGTTTTTGGAACGTGTTAAGTTTGATATATTGTAACATGCTCAAGGTGAGATATTGGCCTCCGCTTTCAACCAGAACAGAGCAGCTTTTTATGACACCTGTGTAAGATGTCATTTGAGTCAAGAATTGTTCTGTTAAAAAAAAAAGAAGACAATTTAGACAAAAGACTGATGTAGGTTAGTTTAGTACTTGGAATCCAGGGAGGTAGACTTTGTGTGGGTCAGAAGGGTCAGGGAAGAATTCAGAAAAGATGAGAAGTTTGAGATAGGCTTTTGAAGACTACTAGAATTCAGATTGGGGGAAGAAAAATATTTTAATATCAATTCTTATCAAAGTTTGGCATACAATAGCAAAACTCCTATAATAGCTTACAATTTTTACCTCATTGTAGAAAACAGGATTTAAGAACATTCCTCATATCACTGTACCACTAGAGGGCAGTCATTCTATTCCAAATACTGTTTGGTTTATCTCAAAGAGTTGTAAATGCATAAAGAGATGAGCAATTTAAACTCATTGGTTAAGCTTTAGGGAGGATAAACATTTTAGACAGGAGATCTTGTAATTTTGTGAGGCTCATCTACTTTGTATAAAAATGTGTTGGTGTTTGCTGGGTTGATCACAGTTTTAGTTCTTCTCTCCGTTTCCCAGGCTTTCTAGTGTGGTTTTTGAGTGTCCCAAAATAACATTTCAAACCATTCTGCCTGTGTCAGGGGCTGGGAGACTTTTCTGTAAAGGGCCAGATCATAACTATGTTAGGCGTATGGGCCACAAAGCTCCTGTCACAACTATTTGGCTCTATTTGTTGTAGCACAAGCAGCCATAGACAGTACATAAATGAATGAACAAGACTGTATTCCAGTAAAATCTTATTTACAAAACGGGGTGGTTTGGATTTGACCCATAGGCTGTACAGCCTTTAGCCTGTGTTCATAAAGCATAATATGCCTGGTACTTGAATATGAAAAGAATTGGCACCTCCTTTTTCCAGAGCTGTGTGGTAACCAGCCAACAACTCTAAAGGAAATATATTCAAAACTTAGAATGGCCAGGACCTTATTATATCACATGCATCATTATAAGTTTGGACATGTTGTATACTTGAGCTCCTAGTTTTCTAGCATGTCAGAGATATGTCTTAAATTTTACCATCAATATTTATTAAAAATAAATATATAATTTATAGAAAGCTATCTGGTGAATATTCCTGACTCTGTTAAAAGGTCTGAGCAATGGCCTGAAATATTTTCCCCCCCTAAAAATGGAATTTTCTCACCTTCCAGCTATTTGGTCTCATAACAAAAAAATGAAACCCAGTGTTCATATTTAGATGTTAAAATGAAGTATCATTAACATGTATTGGAAATCAGGCTGTTTTTCCAAATGGTTTAGCATAGATATATTTTAAATGGACTTCCAGAAAGTCTCTTTTTCCTTGATCTATTAAGTCATACATTTCTGTCATCTTCAACACACAGCAAAGTGGGATCTACCATTTGTTTAAGACGGCATGGTTCAGGTAGATCTAGAAGCTGTGGTTAAGGATTTTAGACATTTTATATTCCTAATTCTAAGAATGAAACTGGGGGGGATTCAAATTTAAAGAAGTTAATGCTAAAATAAAAGTGAGGAAGGACATGATTATAACTGATATGGTATGAGCAGTATAAAAATAGAAAGTAACATTAAATAATGAGAACAAAATGGAGAAACCTCAGGTAAATTTGTAGAAATACATATGGTAAAGATGAAATTTTGATAGTTTGTCTCATTTTAAGAGATAACTTCTTGGCTAATAATAACTTGTCACAAATCTTAGAGGTGCAAGTTTACATTGAACCCTTCAATTACGCTAGTAATTGAAGATAACAAGCATTTATAATTAGTTATGTATAGCCCCTTAAAAATCGAGGTAATAGCTTTGCTAAATGTGTCTTGATGTTTAATATGTGCTCAAATTGTGCTAGAATGTGTATTGGTGTGCTTTCTTAAAATAAGCAATTTTTTGTGTGTACCTCAAGAAAGAAAATAGATTTAAGTATGTATCTGGCTAATTTCAGAGTCAGAAGAGACTAATGAATGTGTGATGATGGCATGCATGAAATATTTATAATAAAAATGTCAAATTATTTTACTTTGATAAGTGAGACTTTTCTGGCATGTTTTGAAGACAAATTAAAAAAACAACAACACTACCTTAATGCTTATTACTCACAGTCTTTTAAAATAGGAGTTGTGTGAGAAGATTGACCCTGGAGTTGCCATAAGTAAATATGTATCTTCCCTTGTCATTAACAGGAACAAGAGCAAAAAGCTGAAGAAGAAAGGATTCGTATGGAAAACATTCTGAGTGGCAACCCTCTCCTTAATCTTACTGGCCCATCCCAGCCTCAGGCCAACTTCAAAGTTAAAAGAAGGTACTTCATATACAGTAATGAGTCAGCAATACATATACACAGATTATGAATTTTAGCAAGCTATATTATATAAAGCTTCTAAAATCCCACTTTACACTGATACTCAGTCAGATTTTGGAGTAATGGAAGGAGAATGAGAGAAATAGCTTTTTTCAATAGATATTTACAGTAAACAGCCGTGTACCAGATACTATTCTAAGCATTAGTGTCAGAGCAGTTCACTGAGCCTTTGGCCCTACAGAGTTTACATTTTGGGTGTGACTTTGTGTCAAGGGTCCCTAAGACTGCCCTTCACATTCAGGGACCCACTGGAAGGACTCGGGAGTTACCGTGTAGGTGTCCCATGGCAAGCATAGTTGAGCGACAGATTGTGAGGGAAAGGGGTATCACAGTGATCCAGGTGCATGCTCCCTTATGCTCTGTCCCTTCCATGAGGTGTCACACAGAGCACCTCCTTTCCCCTAGCAGTGAGAATACAGTAACATGCAATGTTTCTGCCCAAGGAAGCCCATTAGAGACTCGGTGCCCATGGGCTGGTATCTGCCTAGTATGTACCAAAGTTCAGACTCCCAGAAGGGAAACAAAGGTTCTGCGTAAAGTGCATTATCTGTACAAACAGTCTAGGCAGTGGTAGTGAGAAGGTTCCTGGAGTCCAAGTGTCCAGGTGCCAGCCTAGGGCCAACCTTGCAAGCGGGCCTTTCTAAGGATAGCAGTTTCAGGCCTGGCATGTTAACTCCTCTGCGTGGTGTGTGTGTTTGGAGGGGTGAAGTAGAAGGAGGAAAGGGGAGAGACTATGAATAAATATTGAATATAGTACCGCAGACAGTGATATGTAGGAAAATAAAACAGAACAGCTTATAGGAAGTGCTGAGTGGAAGGAAGGTCAGTTGTTGTTTTTATAAGGTGATCAAAGAACCCTGTAGGCTTCCTTGATCACCTTATAAAGGTGGGGTGGGGGAATTGACAGATATAAGACACGTTAAGTTCAGAATGTTGTGTAAATCTATGTGGGGATGTTGGCTACGGAGCTTGATAAATGGTTCTGGAGTGAATCCAGGCTGGAGATAATTAATTTGGGAGCTGTCAACTTACAGAAGTTTTCTAAAGCCATGAAGACTAGATGAGGGCACTGAGAGAAGGAGTACAGCTAGCGGGAGAGGTCAGGGCACTGAGCCTAGGGGATTAGATAGGTGCCCAGTACATACTAGGTGCTCATTGAATACTGATGGAATGAATTTTGAGTGAAGAAAAGCTAGGCTAAGGAGCAGCAGCCAGTAGCCACATGGAAGAGTGGATAGAGAAAAAACTACACTGATTGTATTTGTATTAAACTATGTAATTTGTTCTGCCTTGTTTAGATTTAGAGGGAATTGTTTGGAGATTGGAATGTGTCTTAATATGCAGGTCACATTTGACCCAGTTCTGCTCAGCTTTTCATGTACTTGTGTCCTGCATCGTGATGACTTTCCTAACATTGTTTTCCGAAGATACCCACGTTCTTTGCTTCTTTTTCATGTGTAGTTTATTCTGGCCAGCATACATGTGCACACATTACATAGACTTTAATTTTATATGTATCTGTGAGAGTGTGTGCTATATATATATATTACATAATGGGTTTGTGTTTTATATGCAAAATGATACTTTGAAATTACACTCTTGATTTTCTGTAAAACATGTATTTTATAGCCCCTCCATAGGTGCTTCTTTTTTTGTGCTTGTGCATGATGAAACCCAACCAGAAGAATGCAACCACAGTTCTGCCCTAAGCTCTTCAGCTGCCGTTTCTTTATGGCTGATGCAGATGTGCACCAATAATATATAAGAGCCTTAATTGTTATATGCTAGTACTTCCTTCTCCTTTTGTTGTCCAAAAATGTAAATGCCACAGGGGATGATTACTAAATGTTAACTGATGAAAAAGTAGATAAAATCCTTAAAACCATACCATGTGAACTACAGTAAATTGGTCAGTTATTATCTAGAGTTGTCTGTCCTAATTAGGGTGGTATCAAGTACTTCCTTTCTGTTTTAGACCTGAAAACATTTGATAGGTGTGCAATGAAAATTTTTGTATTTCTGCCTTCTGAGTTGATAGAAGCCTCTTGTACTGGAGAAGTAATAAGAATGTTTTCTATGTTCTGAATAGGAAATTGCCCTTTCTGCTGTTATAGTGCATTATTATAACCTATTCAAAATTACTTTATTCTTTTGGGTGTAATTGCTGCCTTTGTATATACATACAGTTCACATAATGTTGTCTCCTAATATAGGCATTTTAAGAACGTTCTATTTTTTTCCTTCAGGTGGGATGATGATGTTGTTTTCAAGAACTGTGCAAAAGGAGTAGACGATCAGAAGAAAGACAAAAGATTCGTTAATGATACGCTGCGATCTGAATTTCACAAAAAGTTTATGGAGAAATATATTAAATAGTGCAGTTTTATGTGCTTAAAGACTATAAAATGTAAATAATCACTGTGACTTTATTGGTTAGTTTGTTTTTTTCTTTCCCTCCATTTAAATTGTGAATAGGCTTCCCTAATTTTAAGTTCCAAAATATCTTTTCCTTGATTGACACCTTATTTGATAAGGACTTGGGGATTGTTTAACCCAGTTTCTAGTCTGAATGTTTCCAGTCATACGTTTTCTTTTTAAAATTGGAAAGATTATCTTCTTGTAATGAATGTTTTTCATAATCTAAATAACCAAATTTGTGTTCCCCAACTTTTTTGTTGAACTGTATGCAGCTTATAAAACACTGCATATTTTCTTTTGTGTATTTCTGTGTACATTAACTTTTCCTCCTCCTTCCTCTAACATTGATTTGTGGTCAGTTAACTCCTGATGTCTTCTCTATTTTTTAAAAGAGTGTGATGAAAGATGAAAGGGACTCACTTCATTGTGGACCACTTGATGCTATGGAAATGTGTCATCAACCAGGAAGTGCCCTGATGTGTGCCTGAGGGAGCCCGGGGTGTCTTACCTTTGCAGAGGCTCCTTTCTTGGCCCAAGACAAGAGCTCCCGAAGCATGCCTGGGAGGCTGGTGGCCCTCACTGTGTTCTGGATCCCCAGCCTCCAGGTTTCTCTGGAATGAGAGACAGTTTGCACAGTGACACACATTAGAGACAAAGCCTAAGAAATTTTTAAAATCAAACAATGCATGAAATAAAAACTTTGGAAATTGGATTTTGCTTATTTGTATCTTGTCTTGGAAGGGTGTGTATGTGGAAAGTGGGAATGTCTCTACACAGGTGGGAAATGAAGCTTTCCTAAACCTGAGCTGTGATTTTAAGGGTGTCACTGTGATAGAAAGTTTGAGACCAGCCCTGATAGGTGTGGCTCAGTGGGTTGGGTGTTGGTTCTATAAATTGAAAGGTCACAGGTTTGATTCCCAGTCAGGGCACATGCTTGGGTGGTGGGTCAGGTCCCTGGCCGGGGCTTGTGAAAGTAACTGATCAATGTTTCTCTCTTTCCCTCCCCCTCTGTGGAAAAATAAAATCTTGATAAAGTTTAGGACCAAAAAATTGAGCCTTTTACAGACACAAATAGAGACCCATCCTGAGGCCTCACCCGCTACCCCTGCGTTTCCCCAGTGGAAGCTTGGACACAGCGTGTGTGCAGCCCAAGTCAGGAGCAGAGCTGCGGATGGAGCCCAGGCCTGGCCTCCACATTCATGCTCTGCATTTTATGTCCCAACTGAGCTATTGACTTAAAAATTTGAATACTTGGGCTTGCGTTTTTTTTAAGCCTTCAATAATACTAAAGCTTTTTTTGTCCAACTTCACTATAAGGTGTCTACATTTTCAATTTTCTTCAAAGCAACACTTAATAAGAAAGTACCAGGTTATGCGAAGTTAAGAAAAGTGAAATTCAGGCTGAGTGACTGGATCAAAGTTAATACATAATGGAGCATGAATGAGTGCTTTTAGATGACATGAAAAGGAGCTTACAGATAGAATGTCAGATTGCCAAAATGGATCTGATTTGGGTACACCATGACTCCCAAGGTTCACTTCAGTTTGTCTCCTTGAGCCTGACAGGTTCAGGAAGAATCAGAGTAAGGCTAGTATCAGTGATTTCTCCCTTTCCCTGACATTTTCCAGTGTAAATGTATAACCAGTCAAATCCAGGACACATAAATGTTAAAAAGTTTCGGCCCCAGATTTGCAGCGCAGGTAACAGCCTTAGCTAAAATGCCTTGCCTCTTCATTGCCAAACCTTTTGGGTTGACTCAGTAGGTGAATCTGTCCATTCCCTTCCAGGGCCCATGCTGAGCCAGGGCTTTGAAGCCAGATGGACCTGGGTGTGATGCCTGGCTCTCACGGCAGCCTTTACTGAGACTGACTTCACCAAGTGTGCTTGCGTGGCAGCCATTTAATCGACACCGCTCCCTGTAATGTAGGCATTTTTTCCGTGTCATAGATAAGGAAATTGAAGTTTGCAAGAAAAACAAGCAGTTTCCCCAAAAATCTTTATGGGGATAGGGCCAGATTAAAACCTGGAACTGCCTTTATTCTAAAACCCATCCTCTTAACTGGTGTGCTTGACTGCCTCTTTCTGCTTGTTAGTCCTGATTTTTCTCTCCCGTGAAACCATAGTAACAAGACAATTGTAAGGAAGTTTGGTGGGGATTAATAAAATGAAAGTGTGGCAGGCATATAGTAGAGATTTCACACATGTTCTATCCGCTTCTATTAGAGCAGGGGCTGGATGAAAGTTTCAAAGCCTATTTGTTCTATCATAAAGGTCTAGTTTTTGAATTAAGAGGTTCCCTAGCCCCTCAGCTTGAGTCAGGCAATAGGTATGGACAGACAGGGATGCTCTTGGTTGCTGGGATTAGAGACCCAGCAGCAGAAACTCATTGAAAGGCAGGTTTAGTTTAAGAGTGCCTGAAAGGCACCTCTTCTCTCCAGCTCATATTCTGCTTCTCACTATTCATTTGTCCCACTTCTGCAAGACTAGATTTCTGCCCCCCCAAAACTGCAGGCCACTCATTCCTGCTCCTGGCCTCCCTGGAAGGAAGGCTTCATGCTCTACTAGCCAATAGGATGTCTGTGTTCCGATACAAAGCTGGTCCAGTGAGCAGCAGCTGGGAAACAGGTAACCTAGCACAAATGTAGGTAAGGGCAGGGTGATGTTTACAATACACTCTCTAGAACTGACACAGCTTGAGATAGTCAGCTACTCACACGGTTGGACAAAAGCTGGAAATAGATATCACAGCTGCAATCTTTGGGGTAGTGCCTGTGGCTCTCTCCAGCATCTGGCACCATGCTGGGGACATAACAAGGGCTGCCCTCTGTGCTCCCTCTTGTCCTATGCAGGCCTGGGCACAGACACACCCAGGCTCAGATAGTCACCCAGGCACAGGAGAAAAAGCTGGGACCCAGAGGGCAGAGGCCTGAGAGGCCTGCCAAAAACAGGGCCTGTTGGGCCAGTTTCTTGCTGGACCCTGGAAGCACCAGCACCAGGGAGCATGGTGGGGCTTGTCCTGTCTTTGAGACACCTTAGAAGTTGGTCTAACTGGATTGAACTACTCCTGAGAGGAGAGGGTGAGGCAAGGGAAAGGGAGAGGAGGAGAGCTGAAGATTCTGAGGGCTTCGATATTGGCCCCCATTCCCTCTTTGGGCCAAGGTTTGTGGGACGCGGAAGACAAAGGACCAGCCTTGGAGTCACCTTTCAGTAGATGCTAGGTGATATTTAATTGTGGTGGTGGCTGCCATTGGGATGTAGCACTCACAACTTTCTCTAAATCACATGCCCACAGAGGCCATCCGTCCTAGCTCCTTGAACATTTTTATACAGAAGCTTCCTTAGGTATTTTTCATTTCCATTTTTAAAAAATATCCTGTTCTTCCCTGGCCTAGTTCTCAGAGGCACATTAGGAGGAGAAAGAGGAGGAGGAAGAAATCAGTCGTGTTCACACTCCTCAGAGAGGCATCTGCTAACTTCTCTCTCCAGGGTGATCTTTTCATCTCAGCCCATTTTCAAACAACCTCCCTTTTGGGAATAGGCAGAGAAATGACTCCTAACGGCCCTGGACTAATTGGCAGCAGTTTCCTGGGAGCTCAGCCATCTGTGTGTGAGCTGGATTCTGAGGAAGGTGGAAAGATGAGCAGGGTCTTAAACCACTTTGCATTTTTCAGAATGAAGGGGAAGGGTTCTTTTTTTAAAAAAAAGGATTTTATTGCATTTTTTAGTAATTTTTAAATCTTTTTAAAATTTTTTTTATTTTAATCATTGTTCAAGTACAGTTTTCTCCCTTTTATTCCCATTCCAGCCCACCCATCCAACCCTCCCCACTTCCCTCCCATTACCACCCTCCCCCTAGTTTTTGTCCATGTGTCCTTTAAATTTGTTCCTGTAAACCCTTCCCATTCTCTCCTGAAATTCCCTCTTCTCTCCCCTCTGGTCACTGTCAGCCCACTCTCTATTTCAGTGTCTTTGGTTATATTTTGCTTGTTTGTTTTGTTCTTTAGGTTCCTGCTAAAGGTGAGATCACATGGTATTTGTCTTTCACTGCCTGGCTTATTTCACTTAGCATAATGGAAGGGTTCTAATGTCAGCCCGAGATTTCCCCAATGGCACACCTCCTCTAACTCTTGGCCTCAGGGGCCTATTACTGGGAGGGTTGGTTAAGTAAACACTGGGAGTTGAGTCACCCTCTTGAAGCATTTACTTCAAAGAAGCTCTGAGGGAAGAAAAATTCTCCAGTGAGGGGACAAACTGGGATGCCAGAAGTGGCAAGCCTCACAGAACATAAGAGCCTGCTTCCTTGGGCGTCAGCACTACAGACCCCCTCACCCCAGTGTCTAACCTCACACCGCCAGGAAGGGTCACCCCTCCCACCGTCCCTAAAAGAGCTACAACCATGCCACCTCCCTGCCTAAAACCCTTTAATAAACAACCACCATTTAGGAAAGGTAATGGAAAACAATCCCATCCATGACAAGTACAGAAAATGTGTAAGTCGCAGTCATAAACCTAACAAGAAATGTGCAGAGCCTCTTTAGAAGAAAGCTCTAATACTCCACTATGGGGTATTAACTTAGGCTTTAACAAATGTGGAGCCCCGGCTGGTGTGGCTCAGTGGATTGAGTGTGGGCCTGTGAACCAAAGGGTCGCTGGCTAGATTCCCTGGGCACATGCTTGGGTTGCAGGCCAGGTCCCACTAGGGGGTGCACGAGAAACAACCACACATTGATATTTCTCTCCTCTTTCTCATTCCCTTCCCCTCTCTCTAAAAATAAATAAATAAAATATTTAAAAAAAATTGTGGAGAAATACATAGTCCTTGATGGGAAGAATCAATCATATAAAGATATCAGTTCTCCACTCAAAAGAAATTATGAAATTCCATGTGCTTTGGACTTTAAAACATTGATGTTTTGATGAAATTATTTAAAAAATTTCTGTTGAAATAAACTGGGAGGAACATTAAAAAAAAGCTGGCAAGGAAAAATAATGAGAAGGGTTTTCCTCACAGTTTTAAAATGGATTACAAATAAACAGAGGGTAGATTTACAGTTGTGAGTGACATTCTTTTGAGTTAAAGAGGCTATTCTTTTTGCTTTATTTCTATTTATTTATTTATTTTTAGAGAGAGGGGAAAGGAGGGAGAGAGGGAGAGAAACATCAATGTGTGGTTGCCTCTCCAGCACCCCCTACTGGGGACCTGGCTCACAACCCAGGCATGTGCCATGACTGGAAATCGAATTGATGACCCTTTGGTTCACAGGTCAGCACTCAGTCCACTGAGCCACACCTTCCAGGGCAGCTATGTAATAGTCATAAGCTGCATATCTTTTTCTACATGAAAAACTGTAGACCTACTTTTGCCCATCTTTGTATAAAAATCAGTGTGGGTCTGGCAACAACACAGAGAGAAGAAAACAAGGACTATAATAAAAAGTCCAGAAACAAATGCAAATACATAAAGTAATCTTGTATATAAGAAAATTTTTAAAATGGAAAAGGAACAAGAAAAAGGAAAATCAATGGAGGAAAAATGAACTGTTCAGCAAATGGTGCCATGAAACTTTACTAATCATTTGGTAGAAAAATAAATTGCTACTGTCAAGGACAATGTTGGGGTAAGCCAGATTCAGCCCTTCAAAAACTAAAGAAACAAGCCCTTCTTAGATCCAGATGGTTCAGTGTTTACACAGAGAAAGGGTGCTAGCTCC